TTAATAGAAAGAATATATTATTCATCCAGCATCCACAGAATCAGTAACTCTCTGTGCATGTAATTAATTATGCAGTGTTCTGACTGGAACTGTGTTATTTTTAGAGAAGAATGCAAAATTAACACATGAAATATTTATTCAAAGCTACCATTAACACGACAGAAGTAAACTGTATATTATCTACCTAATTATTCAGAAAATCTTAAATAAATAAGAAGTAGCAAAAATATTGGGAGCATTACACATATTTTCACTGATAAAAGAATATATATATTATGACATAGTTCAAACAGGAAGATATTTATCGCAGATTGTTACTTTTGGATCCTACTGAAATTGTGTTTCTGGACACACACAAAGTGATATCAACAAAATTAATAATGATTAAATATAGTGATTATACATTACTTTTAAAATTCTAAAACGGATAGTTTAAGAAGATTAGAATTCATCTAGCATAATTTGTATAAACCTTAATACAACTTAAGCACTTGCGCTCAGTGTTTCACATCCAAGCTGAATTGTAATGAATTATAGGCCAGAAATTTAAATATCCCCAATAAAACAGATCTACATATTTTTTAATAATTCCATTTTTATTTTTATAGTTTATAATATCATATATTATTGCATCCTCATGTAGGGATGCTTGTAGAAAAATGAATATAAGCTCACATAATTATAGAAGTATGCAACTTCTTAATGAAGCAGTGAAATGTTCCCTAAAACACTTCATAAGATGCATATGCATTAAAAAATGCCATGGTTTGGCTATCATTTAATCTCAGCATTATAGAACTCACTGTCACAACATCCCTGTGAACGCTGCTCGGAGTAACTGCCCGGATATATTTTTCAACAGGTCCAAAGTAGAAACGGAAGCGCTGACTCACCTCCCCTACGTTTCTACTCCGTCGAAATGAGCGTTTACATCGTCAAAGTAATCGTAACGAGCGGCTCGCTCCGAACTGCTCTGACAGGTGTAAACTGACCTATAGCTAAAACAACTAAATTACTAAATCAGCACAAAAAAGGCAATTATTTCATCTAATATAGGAGGGGAGAAGGAATGATAAAAAAGTTTTCAGTTGAGTAGCAGGGCATAAGAGGTTCTTTTTTGAAGAAATAGCTATTCTTATTAAGGTACTTGTCTCATTAACAGATAGATTTAAAAATGCTCTTCTAAAAGGGGAACCGCCAGTACAGTGGTAAGTGATGCAGATTGCCATATTGATGAGCCCAGGTTTGAATCCCAAAGAAGATATGAATTGTTATACATGTATAGTGTCTGTGTGGCAAGCAGGCATTCAAAATGCACTGTGAGCCAAAAGTCCTCTCAAGAAGTTGGTGGGAGGAAAAAAGGGTGGGTGACCCTTGAACTACTCCCCTGAGGTTGTTCTCCCTCAAAAGTGGGGCAGAAGCTTAACCGCTATGTTCAGCAATAACTCAGTCAAATGCGATACTACAGAGGTGCTGGCCTAGCTTCTACCTACACCTGTACAGGGTGGCTTCTGAAAACGTAGCCACCTCCAGAGATAACTTGAAAAGGTGGACACCATTTTTATGATGAATGTAAACATATGCAGTGAGTAGGATGGCAAAATAATGCTTAAACTCTACTTTATTTGACAATACTAAGTTACTACTCAGACAGCCAATCAGCAAACACAAAGTAAGGGTCTACAGCCCAATCCAGGCTGTGATACTGGCAGTGAAGGCAAGCTACCTTTTCGTACGATAACCTATAGAAATTTGCCATTCATTACATAAAAGATCTAACACAGCCTTCTTCAAATCATCACCCAACTAGAACAGACATTCTTTGACATTCTTTTAGGAACTTCTTAATTAAATCGTAGATGAAAAAAAATCACATGATGAAAGATTCCTATAAATAAAATTAAGTGTGACCAAATCAGTGAAGACTAAAGTTTTGGTGCACAAAATTGAAAGTTAACTTTCTGCCCTGATATACCAAAAGACACTGAAGTTGGTGCACTAACTGAATTAATTTATTATTCTACTAAGAGTTGAATGCAAATAAATGGCGGCCTCATTAGGCCTAGTGTCACTTAAACTTTCAAATTGTTGGTAATTTTATAATTATTGCATGCATAGTAACTAAAGGTATAAAAACCTCCACTGGAACATAAGAACAACATAAAGCATAAAATGCACAATTTACCAACATACAAAAATAAAAGTATTGAGCTCATCCACCTGTGTAACAAAGGGTGGGAATATACATATATGTGTTTGATGTGGACAATTGCAATGAAAAAGGGAGGCACATAACTACATGTTATAGCATTTTCATATGCAAAACTTCAACATTCTATGGATATCTGGGTACTTTTCCGTTTTGCCAGCGCAGGCGATAAAGCCACCAATAATCGTACAACTGATGTCAAACGGAATATTTTCGCAGGTAACCTTTTATGCCTTATCTTCAAAACAAGTCACAGCCATTTCTTATCAGATTGATTGTTTCTTTCAATACTGGCATACAATTACATAGCATTTTTACCTGATAGTTCAATTTAATGCACTGAGGCTGTTCGCAGGCGGTAGTTAAGTCAATTATAATTCATTCACACTACTCACCCAATGGTGAGAATATAGAAAACAAAGTCAAGGGTTAAATTCATCCATTCTAATGAGAATGCACTAGCGAAGTGAAGGCACTGCGGTTTTACATAATTTCTGAGTAAACTATTCGTACGAAATGAAATAATTCCTGCATTTAAACTTGTATTCCAAATTAAGATTTAACTTGAAATTAATGTAGATAATTACCAAGAGAATTAGATTTTTGTAGCGTAGTTTACGTGAGATGAGATCACTTGTGGACACGAACCGGCGAATCAGGGTGTTGAATCATGAAAGCATAGCAAATTTTTAAATTAAAATCTTTTTTACAAATTTATTGGCGGCTTTTTACAAAATTTTAAACAATATTAAAATGTTTATGCCTTCAAAATAAAAAATTCTTAGAACTAACATTTGTTAATATTTTTTATGTGTATACTTGTATATGGTATGTTGTCATCAATAAAACCTGTTTGGCGAGATTTGCGCCGGCGAAACGGAAAAGTACCGATATTTTTTTTTGAGTTACGAGAGATACATATGATGCCATGAAAAAATCTCTTACAAATCCATTTTACAATCTGTTTTGTAAAAAAGAGTTTTTTATTCTGTCCATATGTACAGATATCATGCGAGAAAACATCATTCAAATGGATTCAAGACCAGTCAAAATGGATATTTGCATTGAAATATGATACCTGAAATTTTTGATGATTACAATACTTCTTTTGCTTCATACAAGGATAAAAAAAAAAAAAAAAAAGTGAACAGTTTTGAGTTAACTGATTCTGTGGCATAAATATGCTTGATGACAAGAAATGGCATTAATTTAAATCAGCATATCTTCAGAAAATAGTTTTTATGCTTAAAATCTTTCGTTATTATTTCCCTCACATAGAGCAATTCATATAAACAACTCATACCACACTTTCAAAACTTTCCTCTAACCATGATTTTGCCATGCTTGGCATTAGTGAAATGGAAAGCATAAATTAATTGGATTTTTTTTGTTGTATTACCTTATATTCTTTATAAATTAATTTCAATTATTAATTTAATTTTACTTGTTGAATGTTCTCTTCATGTATCATCAATGTCTCCTACATATAATTTGTTAACTTTACTGAAGCTTGACATTTCATCGAGGCCAAAAAAAACTTTTCGGGAACATTACACATGGTATACGTGTATGTTAAAAAATGTTTCTCTACATATATTAAATATTTCAAAAATTTTCAAGTACCTACATAATAGTACAACTATCTTTTCTGCTTATTTCTCAGAATATGCCAAACTCTGGCAATCACATACATAATAATTCTTAAGTTTTAACAAGTAAATCACTATTTTCACATGTATCTTTCTTCCTTGTACTTTGATCTCAAATATTTTAAATAGACAAATCACTACACTTTTTGTTTTGAACTCAGTTTTAAAATATACATCTGTGGAATTTACTTATAATAGAGAAAATTATAATATAACTTCTTCAAGAATAGTATTTTTCTGTAAAACCGCCTACAGGAATAATGAATTTGTATCTATTCTTTAAGCAATCTTCAACAAAACAAAAAACACAAAAACTCAGTGGTAAGTAGGTTTCTTGATTGATTTTCATGATCAGTACCTAGTTAAAAGATAAAATATGTATGTAATAATATGTTTAGTTGGTTGCAGTAATTTGATATGAGATGAGTGCTTGACTATGGAAGACAATATTTTGCAGTCGAGTAGATTGAGGTTAGAAGATCACTGAAAATATCAATTACACAGTAGAAGATGGCAGGAAGTTTTATAAATCGCTTGATAATCCAAATATATCTTTTATTATTTGTTGATTACTCTATTAAATGGCATAGCACAATGGGGCTAATTTATACCCCACAATTCTGATGATGACATTTTTAACAGAAGCAGCAAAGCAAGAGACATCATTCAGCTAGCAAGTATAGGCAGAGAAAGCGAGAAAATAACTGGATTGCAAAGGTATTTATAGTAAAATTTTCAATAAACTGATTGGCTAAGGACTATACACAATGCAGAAGGTTAAGATGGCATAATGCAGAATTAGTTTTCAGATATGACCCAGTTTTGGAAAAGTTATTACCACTTTTAGAACAGAGATGGGGAAGAGCCCAAGCTAGAAGGACGAATTAAGGGGCTATTGCTAATTTAAAGTACAATTCAGAGTTACGTGTTTTTTTCAATCTACATGAATATATATAATACATTTTTTTGTAGTTATAAGTCATCATTTCCCCCCTGCAAAAAATTGCCAAGATAGTTGGACTATACATAAATACCAGTCTGAACTGTATATGGAATTAGAAGTTAGACAGAAGGATCTACAAGTATATTTAACATTCACTTGAAAAAATAGTACAGCAAAAATGTAACAGGGATAAACTTACTTCTCCTGTTTCCATGGAAACAAGATTTAAATATGAACTAGTAATTGTCAAGCTAACATTTTCTCCAGCATGATCCATATTTGGTTTATCAGCTAACATTTTCAGTAACCTTTTATCGACCTTTAAATTATAAAATAGCATAAATAACACATTTAACTTCACAGAATGTAATACAACATATAAAAATAAGTAATGAGATGGAAGAAATTAAAGCACAAATGCAATAAGAGGAAATCAGCTAACCTTCCGTTTCTTATCCACAGTTTTCAGTCCAGCTACTTCACATAATCTGTTAATACTTTCTCTAAAAGGTCATAAAAATAAAAAAATAAAAAAATTAATCAACACGCATACAATGATTAGTATAATTTTTAAATATGCATTTATATATATTATAAATAATTTTAAAGCATTTACATCGAATTTTTAGTTTTGACAGTAAAATTTTTTTCAAGGATACAATTAAAATTTATCACTTGACTACAAAAGCAAATTTTGGGATTTTCTATTGTTTTTGCAAATATTGGCATCCATTCATAAATTGTGCATTAATCCAGGGATAAATGGATCCTTCTTAATCTGCCACTAACTTTAAAAGAAATGGCCATTTACATGAGTTTTGATCACCATTTTTAGAAATCGCTGTCTTTATCTGACACACACACAACACACAAAATGGTATAAATAGTAAGTGAACTGTTCTTTCTAGATAATAGCAGTTTTAAGCTTTTATGCAATACAATGATTCGTAATACAAATTAAAAAATGTTACTTGATAAACCAACATTCTTTTATCATTCACATACAGCAATAATTTTGAAAATTATAATGATATGGATTGATTGCAAATTTAAATTACTAACACTGGTAAAAAATACTTTTAATTACTTTGCAATTAGTGATCTTGTATCAAAATCCAAACTTTTCATCGAAGTATTCACCTCAAGGCAACCTATGTACTGCAAAAAGAAATAAAATAATCATCAATAAATGAAATTACATTTTACATTATCTAAATGTAGATACCTTACTATAATTAAAAAATAAATAAAACACAAACATACAACAAATATTATATGCATAATTTATAACCTACGTTAATGAAAGTTTACTACTGGGAAATTTTTTAAAAATATAACATAATGAAAAATTAACTTTATGTACATATTGGCCTAAATATAAGATGCTCTTGCATATAAAAACTCATGCACTTTTTTAAGGTTTTGCTATACCAGCAAAAAATAACCTGCATTTCAGACGATCTCATATATCTGTGCCTTAAAAGTAAAGAACCATACTTTGGGTTTTAGCATAAAGAGAAAATTTAAAAACAAAGTGTTGTTATATATGAAATAGGCCATACAAGCTTTTGATTAAGTAATTTAAGTGACATTTCATTGTGCAATTGATAAGAATGTGATATACTTGATTAAAATTAAGGCATTTGCTTTTATTTACTACTAAATAAAATATCAGATAAGAGAAAAACACAAATCTAACTACCTCTTTCAAAAAAATATATGATTGAGAGATTTTATCATGAATCAGTTATCTTTTTCCTCATTAGATAACTAAAGATTTGTATAAAATATATGAAATCAGGATGGTATCTATTTGAATATACTTAAAAGAATATATTAATATGAAACATATACATTCATGCATATACATTTTCAAGCAATTTCATAAGCAAAACAAAAAATATATATACGTATTTATTCATTAAAAACTTATTTATGTTTCCCTATATCATTTCATACAGTCACCTACCAATCTAGTCACCAACATTTAAAAAAAATTAGTAAATTTAGCTTGTTTTTCAAGAAAAAGAGACTAAGCTTTGGGAGCTGCTGCATTTATATTTTCCTTCGCCAACAAGAGAAAGTTCAGCATAAGCAAGGTAGATAGCCTCATATGCACTTCATATACAAATAACCTAAACCAGTATAATCAGCAAGACATTTTTCTACAGACAATGACTTGGATTACAAATTGAAGTATGCATATAAACAGAATAGATTAATTCTAATAATTTAGATTAGATACTTTACAATAATTAGATTAATTCTACTACTTTAGATCAGAGCTTGAAGTATGCATATTAGTAGGTGTTGAGCTGAAAAACTGCTAGAAAGAACAAAAGGTTCATGGAATGGAAAACACTTTGATAAGCAGTTCAGTTTTCAATAAATTATTCCTAATGCCTTTACCAACAGGGTTTCCAGAGGTATTTTCTGAACCACAATTACATATGTACTTTTGTGTAATGAAAATAAATATTTCACAATCTGTGAAGCATCTAGGCTATCAGTATTCAAGGATGTTCTATATTCTTTCATGATATCACCCACATAAATACATGAACTTTCAACAACGGATCCATGAAAGCACATTAAAACAGATTTACACAGTTTTGGTAATACTGGATATTTTGTTTTCCATCTTCTTTTAGTCTGAATATACCAGTGAAAACTTTTTTCTCATTTTCTGTATAATACAAGTAATAAAAATAGCTTTTTTTTATACAACAAATTTCTTAGCACATTCAAGTTTGCTCATGTAAGAAGATTGACCTCTCTCTCTATGCTTTATTCAGCTATTGAACTTTATATAATCTAACAGCTTAAGCGTTTACAATGTTTGGATTAATATATTTTTTTCTGAAACTAAATTTGAAAAAGATTATTAGTCTACATTTCATAAATCTGGAAATTCCAGCTTTGAGAAAGTAAAAAATCCAGAGTTTTGGCTATATCTAGACAACAATCACCCAATACTTTGCCATTTTCTTGCACTATTGTTCTCCCCATATACACACCAATCTGTTTTCACTTATAACCAGAGAAATGTGCGAACTTAGCAATCTGCATCAGCCATGATTTCCCAATAGTTATTGAAATTTCAGTGTAATAAAAATAAAACAGGACAAACTCTACAGTTTCATTATGATTCATTAAAACAAAAACATAAAAATAAATGTTAAAAAAGAAGGCTCAAATGTCATATACGGGCCACGATACATGTGGTCGTCAAATGTGGCGATATTTTGTATTGAATGGTTTAGTTAAGATTTTGTTTCTATGGCAACCTTTTTTATGTGGAAACTTTTGTGAGGAATGTGGTTGTATTTCATTGTGGTGGTTGTTTGGTTACGTGTTGAATAATGGCATATTGTTCCATGAAGGAAGTTGTGGAGAGATATCAGCTGCATGTTTTAGAGTGTATTTAAGCTAGATTTAGTTCGAGAAGCTATGTTGTTGCAGTTATTAATGAAGCATTTATTTGTTCATGGTTGTCTTCATGCTGACACAGGTATATTTTTTCAATTTTTTATGGGATACAGGATTTTTGATGCCAAACTTGACATGTGAGAAGTGCGGGTCTGATATGAAAATTCAGAAGAAAAACTGTGTTCCTCATGGATTTATAGAAAAATTATTGAGAGTAAAGAATGTGGTTCTCAATGAAGTTTGAGCTTTGGTTTTGGTTTTTCTGCAGTTGTTTCTTTGAAATTAATATTTTGCTCTTTTGGGAACTATTTTGAATCACAAATGAATTTACTTTTTTATTGTTTTAATTTTGTAGAGTGATTTTAGTTGTTCCATTGTTTTAATTCCGTGTTGTTATTTTGGCTGTAGTGTAGAATCCGATGCCCCTTCGATTGGCGACAAATTCTGTTCAATTCTGGTGATAAGTAACTTTCAGGGAAAGTGCAGAATTGCCCACTGCTTGGCATGTTTTTAAGAATTGGACATACTCGGTAACCATGTACACATCGACCTATTTTCACTTTAAAATAATCCCAGAATTGCATAAAAATGACATTGTGCACTTCCTTGACTTTATCCATGTACACATCAATCTATTTTCACTTAAAAAGTGAAAGAAAATTGACAAAAATCCAATTCTTCTTACTCTTGTAAAAAGCTCAAACAAACGCCAATCAAATATGTGGGCAATTCTGCATTTTAGCCTAACTTTGTTTTAATCTTATATGACGATAATCAGTCTCTTTCTCCTGATTTTTTTTAAAGTGACAATAGATCAATGTGTACATAGACAAAATCAAGGCAGTATGCAATGCCGAGTTTGTGCAATTCTCTGATATTTTTTAAAGTGAAAATAGATTGATGTGTACATAAACACCGAGTTTGCTCAATTCTTTGACTTCTTATTTTGGATTTGTTTAACGGCTATCTTGAAACGGTACCTGGCGCCAATCTTTGCATCAAAAAAGAATTGGAAAAAAAACAAGGGGCACCCAATTGTTAACATTTACCATTATTTTTAAAAAATTTTTAACTTATTTGCGTTGAAAATGTTTGGAATTTATTGTTGTTAATTTAGTTTAAATTTGTTGTGAAACATTTTTGGCAAGAAACTTAATGCTTTTACTTATCTAAATTTTTTGTATTTATTTCGGAACTTTTAGTGTAAATCGAGTGCAAAAATGTGATTTTCGCACATGTGAATCTGTGTTTTTGAGACATTTTAGGCTTTAAGTTTGAAATGCAAACTCTCAGACTGTAAACTATTCCCATAACTAAAAATGTTTTACAATTAAAAAACCCACCAAAATGCTCAGAAGGCGCATAATAAAAAAGTACCCCTCCACCAAAAAAAATTCAAAAAAATTTTTTTTTGTGCTCCTGAAAAAGAAGGAAAGCCAGGACCTTCATCAATAGTTATTCAAAATCTATGCTCGACTAAAACTGCTTTTATTAATCATTTTTAAATGGTTGATTAAAATCATAATGGAGCTGTCTGGTGACTTACTTGGTTCTCATTTGGTAATATTTCTCTGTCACTTGGCAATTTTTATAATCATTTTGACCTTATTTGATGATTTTACTTCAGTTAAAAAAAATTTTTTTTTCTTGTAATATTTTGATAATACTAAGAAAATAATTCATCACAATACACTATGTATTTTCTATGTTTTCTTGTACAATGGATGGCAATACAAGATCAGAATGATATCATTAACTGCTATTGACTGTACAAATAACATTTTTAATCTTAGGGAAGTGTATCTTCAAAGTTTTTAAGTATGTGTGCCAAAGCATATGAAGCATACACTTATACTACTCACAGAGGATGTGTTTCTTAAAAAGTGCTTATCAAACAAATTTATTACTACCTATAACTAAAATAAAAACTGCTTACTCTAACACCATATGTTATACCAGTGTCAGCAATTTTTTGATCTGGATGTAACCAGCCTCGTACAGGTTTATTGACAAAATTTCCAGCTTGGCTCCAGTCATCCATATCTGTTCCATTAGCAGATGCCAAATTAAGGGAAAGGAAAGGACGGTTATCAATATTCAATGAAGGTACAGTTCACGATCCTCATACTTCAGATCAATATACAAATGCAATCTATAATTAAAATAAATAACTATAGTTTAAAAAAATGCACTATATATAATAAGCATTTAAACATGTATTCAATTTTTAAAGTGAAATTTCAGAAAGTTAATATCAATGACAGATCAAATGTTTAACAGTTTTATACATCTCATTGTCTAATTATTTTCATAGTTATCACAATTTGTCAATTTGTTACTGCTTGTTCATGTTCATAATTTAAAATAAATGTAAATTAAAAGAAAAACAAGTGTTAAGGACAAATGTCTTTGTATACAGCAGGGGTTGCCAACCTCTTTCTTGCATCGATCCCTTTTAAAACAATGATTTTCATCATTGATTCCCTAACACTTACTCTCTAATAGACAGCAAATAACATTATCACAATAAAGATAATAGCACATAAATAATTTTAAGATAACATTTTGACTATGAAAATGAAGAAAAGTTTTAAAATAAAAATGGTTTGTTAGATTTATGTTTATTTTTGTATCATTATTATCTTTAATTTCACATACATAAACAAGTTTTCAGAAACACACTTACTGATGTTTCTTTATTTCCGTAGTAAATTATTGATTTGATTAAAGCTTCTACTAAGTAAGAAAAAGGAAAGGTTAATAATGCAGTTTCGGTAACGACATTCAATTTGGAACATTTATCTTGGATGACTTTTATATTCTAAAACTTAGTGTACCCATATGTTTTGCATAAGATTTATGATGATCTGTTCAATAAAGCTTTACATCAATAGAGAATTAATTATTAATTTTATTAATAATCCTTTTTTCAATCACTGGAGCATTGATTATGCCAATCAATTGCCAATGCGTAGTCAGCTATTGACCTCCAACCAACATCTTGATCATTGCCCCCCCCCAAACTAACTCCTTTGGGAACTTCTGGTGTACATAGTGCAAAAATGATGCAAGATAGACAGGTAACAACCATCAATCCAAGCATCAGCTTGCGAGCTTTAAAAACTAAGATTATCAATGCTCTTACTTTATTTTGTGAATACAAGCTGTTAAAGCTTACATTTTTTCAACCTTTAATCTCTTCACTCTTAGAACTTCTTATATGACACACTTCAGCTTCTTTGTGGATCCACCACATCATGCAATATGACAGTGAAGATATACTTAACTGCCATATTCCATTTGATACGGCAGGGGATATTATCATGTATATTATGCTGAAATCATTCATTTTATTTGACACTCTAAATGTGCTTAAAATTATGTCAGAATGCTGCGAAACCTTATTGATTGGAGTCTCTCAGATGTTAGCTTTGTTATTATGAATATTATTTATTATTTTATTTCATGAATATAAAACATGTGATGCTCACAACACACATTCAGAAGAGTTTCACACAATGCAAGCGGCTTACAATTTTTTATGTAAATGTGGCAATAAGATATAAATACTGACATTTAAATTCTTAAGGTTTTTACTGTAAAAAAAAAATAAATAAATAAAAAAAAAAATGAAATTTAGAACAGTTATCAATAACTAAATTTCTTTTGAATATTCGGGTAGCAACTTTCCTAACCTCAAACCAGAAAATGTAAAATTTGGTTGTTTTTGTTTTAACATTATCCTGAGTGTAGAGGATTACTTTAATTTCCTAATAGTTATTTTTAATTTTAAACAAGCTTTTTTTTACTTCCTTATTTCCCACCTATGACTATTCCCTACCAAAATGAGTTTTCAGGATCACATTTTATGTAAATGAGGTTTATGTAAATGTAGAAATCAATATTTAAGTCTAGGTCATGACAGTAGATGGGCTTAGAAGTTCCTAATAAAGTGTTATGAAAGCTTGTTCTGCCTTCTGGCCACGTCGTTGTTGTAAGTCTAATCTCACTACGATTTGGCCATATTATTATGTGCCTGCTAGAATTCGCTGGTGATCTCAAGGGCCCACTCTATTAATTACTGTTGCGTAGCTTCGGCTGGTTTTAGTTTAGTTATTATATTAGTTTCTTATTTTCAACCTTAAGCCCAAGTTGAGGCTTACTGTAAGCCCAAGTAGGGACTATATGTAAGCCCGAGTAGGGACTATCTATGAATCATACTGTAGTTGGAATAAGGGTATCGTAATTCCTGGAAGAAACGCCATGGCGTTTGCATGTTTAAAGCTTCAATTTTCAGCGGGTGCAGGGTTTCTACCCATGCGGTGCTTAGGTGCACTAAAAAAAATATTTTCTATGATGTCATTGTGCATAGTTTGAATGACCTTGTTATTGTACATAGATTGGTGCTGTTCCTACACTCAGTTGCTTTCTCAGAACTTTATTTTGTTTACATTCTTTCCCTTGAATGGACCTACATGCCTTATTCACCCTAAACAGGATCTCAGAATAATAACATTCTTCCCTCTTTCAAATCAGCATTCTCATCTGTTTGAATAATTTCTCTTCTCCGCCATTCGCTGAATCTTCCAGAACCCATCCTGTCCCCACCCCTGCCTTTTCCACTGTAAATCTACTGCAATTTTTTCAAAAGTGGATACCACCTGCATTGCAATAACGAATTCTGACATATTTCCCCTTCAGCACCAATCGATTTTTCTTGGCATTCTGCCAGATACAGATCTCATCAGTTTGGGTAAAAGTACTTGTTGAATAGTTTTTAAGTAAGAAGAAATCGGAAAATTTTTGAAAATAATACCTAAACGGCACTGAAGCTATATTGCTGGTTTTAAGCTTGATGAAATTTCACGTGCTGAACAAATTGGAAATAGAGCAGCAGCTCGAGAATTTGAAGTGGACGAGAGATGCATTTGACGTTGAAGGACAGAAAAAAAACTTTAAAATATGCCACAACAGAAAAGAGCCAAAAGAAGTGGTACTGTAAGGTGGCCGAATCTAGAGGATGACCTTGCAAACTGGATAAAGGAGCAAAGAGGAAAGGGAATGGCAATTTTGACTGTAAAAATTCGCTTACAAGAAAAATTTATGGCAAAACAAATTAACATAAATGATTTCAAAGGAGGGCCTTGCTGGTGTAGTAGATTTATGAAAAGAAAAAATATTTCTGTGCATACTAGAACAACAGTCGGGCAATAATTACCAATGGACTGGCAGGATAAAAAGGCACCTTTTCTAAAACATGTGACAGATATTATTGACAAAAAGACCTTCTTCCATCACTGATAATAAACACGGATGAAACGGCGTCAGCTTTCAACACTCTTGCAAACAGAACTGTTGACGAAACTGGTGCGAAAACTGTATCTGTGCTTACGACGGGGCATGAAAGAACGTCATTTACATGTGTGTTAGCTTGTGCCGCAAACGGTGACAGCTAAAGCCGATGATCATTTTTAAAAGAAAACTATTTTGAAGAGAGATTTTCCTAATGACGTCATTATTTGTGCAAACGAGAATGCATGGATGTGCGAAAAAATCATGCATGACTGGCTACAAAAGGTTCGACAGTGTCATAAGGGATCTTTTTCCCAACCAAAAGGGTTATTGATAATGGATTCCATGCGTGCTCATTTACTTGAGTCAGCAAAAACCAGATGTCAAAAACTGTCTACGACTGTAGCAATAATTCCTGGTGGTTTGACAAAAATCTTACAACCATTAGATTTGTCAGGAAGTAAATCCTTCAAAGCTGAAGTCCGAAAGCAGTGGGAGTGTTAGATGAGTGAAGGATTGCATATGTATACCAAAAGCAGCAAAATTCGTACAGCATTTATGAAGAAGTTGCAAAGTGGGTAGGAAGTGCGTGGAGATCAGTGAAAACATCGTCAATAATAGCAGCGTTTAAAGAAGCTGAAATTATATCCTCAGATAAAGAGACTGTAAACCAAGAGGATGAATGTAGATCTGGAAGACTTAGATCAGGATTTACTAAATCTTTTTAATTCAGATAGTGAAGAATCTGATTTTTATGGCTTCATTTGATGTACAGTTTGCTGTAATTCCTTTGTAAGTAAAATTTTCTTTTGTCATCCTGTCATCCAAATTATTTATCTCGTTGCAACATTTTTTATAATATAGTATGAGTATGACAAATATGGACTTCTTTAGTGGGTAAGTATAAGTATATTTGCGAACGTAAATATATTTTCAACATTTCTTACCTTTAATTATTTGACTTATAGTTTCATGTCAGACATTTTTTTTAACTGATATGTCATGTATCAGGACACAGGTCATGATTTTGCGTCTATATGGTCCACGACGATGTCATGCACAATTTAATCTATTACGGCGTTTCTGCGTAATTTTTATTTTTTCCGCCATTTTTCTTGCAGCGTTCACGCTGATGCGGCCTTTCTTCCAGAAATTACGGTAAATTCAACCCTTGTTTCAACTTATTACTGACTATGAACTCTGCAATTTATTCGCCACATGGTTCTTAAGATTCTAGCTTGCAAGGACCACAAATTTAGCTAGAAAATTACAAGTTTTTTTAAATTATTATTATTTAATAAATGACAGTTACGATTTAAAGGTGTTTTTTTTTTTTTTTTTTTTTAAAGAAATTTCTTTCAGATATTTCCATGATTTAATTCTGATTTGGGTACTATTCCGTTAGAGCAGCGTCTGTTAAAAATGTGGCAGTTTTTTTTCCCCCACCAACTGTTGTCAAGTATAAAATCATGAAATAATAATAATACAATTCAAAAGACTATTAAAAATTATTTCTGTAAAAAGTAATTCCTTTCTAATTTCATAATTCTTAAAGTAAATTTCCCTTTTTAATTTTTTAATCTAGAATATTCTACATACAAATAGCAAAACAAAATGAAATTTAATCGAAACAGGTGACATAAAAAATATTCTACACATAAATAAAAAGGCTAATCTTTGGAATATGGAACAGGTAGTTTGGCGACATTTTGGTAAGGCGATAAAGGTTACTAGCTACGACTTTAGCAGTGTACATGGATAAAGTCAAGAGTAAGCGCAATGCCATTTTTGTGCAATTCTGGGATTTTTTTTAAAGTGAAAATAGGTCAACATGTACATGGATACCGTGTATGTGCAATTCTTAAAAACGCGGCAAGCAGTTTGCGATTCTCCATTTTCTCCCAATTTCGCACCTAATCTTCGTCATGATTAAGCACTTTTGTTCCATAAAAGTTCTAGCATAAGCGTAATTCGGCTAGCAGATTGTTGGAAAAAAATGTTGAGTAAAAAAAGAAAAAAAAAATGCCTTTACTTCGTGAAAACAAAATGGCATCCAAACAAAAACTAGCAGGTTACTGTAGCAGGGTTGGTCGCCAAATTTTCACCAAAAAAATTGCCAAGTTACCAAAATCCAAAGATTAACCAATAAAAATAATAAAAGAAAAGGAAATTCAATCTAAGCAGGTTGAATAAATTAGAAATATCATTCAATACTATAGAAAAAATTTCTTTTTTTGAATATAACCAACACCACATAAATTCTATCAAATATGACTCTAAATGCTGGTGAGCAGTGCCCCACTGAAACTTATTTCTCTATTTAGCACTGCCCTCAATCACTCCACAGTTAGGATATAGCATACGGTTTTGTAAGTTGCTTCGTTTTTTGTGCTAAATGCGCATGCGTAAACCATACCAAAAAAAAAAAGTTTGTGGCTTTGAGATCCGGATTATAGATCATTCCGCATAATGGACATCCAGATTACAGACTTTGTACTGTACTGTCCTATTATGGCTGATTTCCAACTGAATTTGGCAAAATTCAATAGATGTCAATTCCTGACATCACAGATAGATAAAACGAACGGCACTGAAGAAAGAAAGACGTGAACCTTCAAACCATGTTTTGGTTCTCAATCTTTTTTTCCATAGCAAAAACATACGTAACAACGCCATGCAGGAGCTTTGTTTGAGACAAAAGTTGACTTCATCAAATGATTTTGAGAACAAAGTGAATTGCTATGAATTATTCCTTTGTCCTGAAGAAATCTTACGGCATCCTCTTTGTCATTAGGTTATTTCATAATTGTGTAGTCCATCGTACTAAAAAAATTGGCAAAAAATAACATGTGATGATATTTCAAATGAAAACTGGAAATCTTGAGCCTCGATATTTGGCATGTTCTTGTAGCATTGTTTTCTTCTCATTTTTAACTGACATTGCTCTAATGGAATAGTACCCTGATTTGGCTATAACTAATAAGAGAGCATTTAAATGTGGTTTCCATGACTTTATTCTTCCGCTAAAAAATTTGTTAAGTGTAAAAGCACATCAACTTCATTCTTTGCACCATATCCTGCTATATCAGTTTTCTGGATCTCTTCAACCCTAAGCCAACTGTCGAAATTTGGAATACTTTCCAGTTTTGGTGTCAGGTGGTATGCACACATATGTCATGAAATAAGAACTATCATTACCATTAAATTAACTTTCAATTTACAGTCGGAGAACAGCATAAAAGTTCTGATTCTATTTGAAACTATTACCGCTTAGTTGAAATTTTTATAGTTTTTATCTACACTTTTTGAAGGGATTAATAAATATTAATTTAGTATACTGTTTCTTTACTTTGATTGTTGAAAACTATTTGTTGACAAAAAATTATCACAAATTCCTTGAAAAAGGGGGTGGGAACTCTTGAGGTTAATTATGTCATTTACAAGAAAATTTTAACAAATGACAATTGTAACCATTATAAAATGGTGATTAAAGTAAATTTCTTAAACCCAGAATTTTAAACAAATTTCGTAGGTACTAAATTGTTTTTGAATCTACTATTAAACGTATGAATTTTGAAGTTATAAGACACGAGGGGAGAAAATGCATAAGATCGCCTTTATTACACTATGCAATCTGTTTTCTTATTATGCAGAAGTTATTCGATGGAACTTGCTATAATGGAAATAATCTTGAACATCCATATTTTATGCAAAATTTCAGAATCAAAAACTGAAAGTAAGGAAAACTGGGACAATATTTCTGCCCCTATTTTGCCGTTCAGCTTTTACTTTCATATGGACAAAACGGCGACACATTTTTTCCCGCGTTTCATATTTTTATTAATTATTTACGGTTCAAAAAGTAAGCTAACACTTACTTCTCCATGTTCTGAAAAATGAGATTATAAAATATAAAATACGCTAGGCATTTCTGTTAATTAAAAAAGGACTGAAAAGTTGCTCATATGACACAGATTCAATTGTAAATAAAAGATTTTTTGTCACACTACAGCGGATGTCACAAATTAACCGAAAGCGGAAATGAACGCTAGTATCGCTGATTTACGGTTGTCATTTCGATCAACGCTCAATAAATAAAATTTTAATAATATGTAAATTATAAAACTAAATTAGGTTATTCAATAGAAAATCATTATTTTTAGGAAAATTATTTTATTGAGATGATGAGAGAATTTGCTTATATAACTTTTCAGAACATTTCCACGTCGTGTGCTGTCTACAAAGAACATTTAATAGTTAACAGATATAACGTAATTTATCTATAAATTTCTTAATAATATAAAATATGTTTAGCAAATTTTTTTGGAAACGAATTTTATTATTTCTATTCCGGAAGTCATTTAATTCTCCTCAACTCATCACAGTGTTTTTGTTTCGTTATATGGTAGTATTGCCGAATTGTTCGCCGCTGAAATACATGTATCAGGGAGGTGTTTATGTGAAATGTGAAGGGAATTACTTCATTATTTACTATTTTATTTATTTGAGATATAGGTAAGAAACTTAATTTTGTTCTCGAAATAAACATATAAGGCATTTGTGTAAAAGTAAAATAATGATATTTCTTTGAGTAGATGCGTATTTTTTGGTAAATTTTCCGATATAAATTTAGCAACATTTTTTGTAGTTTAGTAACTGATGGTTGTAGAGTTTTCCGAAATATGTTTTAAGGTTTAAATTGCCATTACATATCTTGGAATATAATTTACTCATTTCAAAAACAATGTATTATGTCATTGTAAGCGTTCTGTATGTTGCCGTTATTTTTTTTTTTAACAATAAATAGGCAGTAATTTAAAAGCGAAGAAAAAATTTTAAAAATCTGGGATTTTTATATTACATATAGAGGGGCGTTTTTCTGACTTACACGTACATAACATACATGTTTCGAGAGCATTTGGGCTAATGCCTTTCTGGGCTAAAAATATTTAGAAAGAGTATATCTTTAGAATTTTCGATTGATAGTATCGCGTGTTGAAGATAAAAGTATTTTATTCTGTACAGTGTGTTGCCACTGCTGCCTTTGAAATCGTTGAGTTTTTAATAAAAATTGTCAAAAGTTTAAAAAATATAAAAGAGAAAATAAAAGACATTCCAAATTCAAGTTTCGGGCTTCCGGGTGCCCATATTCTGTTGGAGGACTATTTTATTCGAAATTTGATGGCTGTAGGTATTGTTTTTTCACAATGTGAGAAACATACATACATACAGGTTACCCTCGTGTAACATGGTACATAGGTTCCTAAAAAATGTGGTGTTTTGTGAAACCATGTTGTATGAAACCCAGAGCCAGTATAAAGAGGGTGGGGTTACATTCCGGAAACTTATTAAAAACAAATACTTTTTTTTTTATTATGCATTACTTAAATTTTATTAACTCTGCACTGTGCTTGTGGCGTCCCACAGACGCCAGGGATGTTTCTTTTTTAATTCTTTTATAAGCGGATGCCTGAGCAAGCTTATGCTGCCGTCTACCTTTCTGTCAACTATAGACAAATAAATAGAAATCATCGAAACAACAATATTTTCATTTTAGTGCTGAGAGGAAGAGGTTATATGCTGGAGTCTAGAAGACGCCACATGACCGTTTTTGATTCTAAAGGTAAGTATTTTAAAATTTATATATTCTAGTGTTTTTAATTTATATTATCAACAGCTGTCTTTAGTAGTGTTTTTTTTTTTTTTTTTTTTTTTCTTAGTGATAGGTAAAAGAAATTGTTTTTGAATATATTTAATTTTAAATGTAAAAAGAATGTATTTTTTTTGGTATTTATAATTTTTATGGGTTACATTTGTTTTTATTATTTATTTTCTTACCTTTAGATTCAAAATGACTTGAATAAAAAAAATTTAAAAAAATTCAGTATGGCATATGAGCGGGACAGAGAAATAGTACTACATATGCTAATGGAAGAATATGAATCAGGTGATGAGTTTGATGATTATAGTGATGCAGAAGAAGCTAGAGTGGAAACAAGAGACGAAAACACAAACACCGAGCAAGATAAACTCCAATAATAGCGAAAGTGATGATTATATTGCCAATAATTATTTCCTAGGCCGGAAAAAATTATCAAAAGTTTGCCCACCTAAAAATAAAAAATATATGCACTCGGCGACATAATATTATCACTCATTTACCAGGGGTGAAAGGTGTCGCAAAAAATGCTCGAAAGCCGGAGCAATGTTGGGCATAATTTTTCGACAATGGCATGTTATCTAATATGTTAAGTTCAAAATGAAAAGATGCCCATAGTACAGGAAAATTATTCTTGGGAAAGGGATGCCCATTTGACCGACATAATTGAAATAAAAGCGCTTTCTAGGCGTATTACAGATTTGTGCTTCTAGAAAGGACAATCATGCAAATACCAAGGAGATATGGTTCTCTGATAAAATGGTAGTTGAGTTATGCCATCTAATAATGTCTGAAAAACGATTTAGGTTCCTTTTATATTGTTTGAGGTTCGACAATAGCGATTTTTTACTTCAAAATAATCTTACTTTGGTTGGGATTATTTTGTCCGGAGAAAGAATAAGAGTGACATTCCTCCAGAGTTTACACATACAAAGAATCGGGAAGTAGGAACATCATTGTTTAGGTTTCAGAATTACTCTCAGTCTTATAAACTAAGAAAACAGGTGGTTTGATTCTCCCCACTATGCATCATGATGATGTAATTGATGAATCAGTGAAAAAAAGCCCCATGATAACCTTTGATAACTCAACTAAATCAGGAGTTAATACTGTTGACCAGTTGTGTAGCACTTACAATGTTGCCAGAAAATGAACAGATGCCCTATGGTCATATTTTATAGTATGATGAATGTAGCTGCTGTAAATGCTCAAATAATATATCGTGCAAATAACTTATTAGTCAGTACCAGGCACAGTGAGTTTTTAAAACTTTTGGGTAGCTTATGATTCCTTGCGTAGACATTCTCAATGTTCATCATGACCTAGAAACCTCAAGCAGGATATTCAGAGCATTTTCCCAGATGAGAGTACAGTTCAACGTACAGTAGAGGCTTGAACTACTAAAAGGCAGAGATGTCATGAATGTGGCCATTCCAAGAACAGATACACCAAGTAGAAATACTGCAGTTGTAAATATTTTTAGGTTTAGAAAACGCTCAGCAAATGTGCGTTGATTGCTAGTTTGTGCAACTAACTAAATGAAACAATTTTACTTGTATTTTTCATATGTATTTGAGTTAAGTTGAATAAAATTAAGTCTCACTCTAAATTGAAGTTTTGTTATTTTTGTTTGTAATATAATACCACAAATATATGTATGTTATTTTAATAATCCGTTTGCATTCATAAATTTTAGTTGAATAACCTAGATATATATTAGTACAGCAAAAATATACCTGGCGTCTGTTAGACACCGTGAGACCTTTAACGTAACAATATACCACGTGAGCACTGCAGGATTAAAAATATATATGCATGTACAACACAAAACAGAAAAAGATTACATATTTCAATTTAATGCAACTTAAGTTTAATAAATTTCTTCATTGTCATTGCTCAGTATAATCAACAGAAAAAAAAATTTTTTTTGGTGGAATGAGATTGCTTTCACTTTCAGAATTTCTTCATTTAAAGTTTTGGCATTTTCTTTCCTCTTTAAAAAATCTGTAATTTTAATTTGTGTACTAGTTCTTACCAGGTCATTTTCAATTTCTCGATATAGAGCTAAACAGTTTTGCCTTTTGAATTTTCGGCTTATTTCAGTGGAAGGGTCTGCACTCAAGAAAAATAACTCGAGGTTTTCAGCTAAGCATAGGCCTTCTTTTAATTTTTTTAATGTTAAATTATTAACTTCATAATTTTCATCAGTGGTAGTGTCTTATTGTGTATAACTTTTATAAAAAAATAGTGTATAAATTTTATAAAAGGGAAGAGCATAAAGAAAATCTAGTATTTACATATTAATGGAGTAAGATTGGATAACTTTGGTGATTAACAGCAATCTACTTGCTGCAAACCATTTGCCAACTGGCATTCACACTGTTTAATTCACACTGATTTAATGTCTTTCAAACATCACCATTCAATTGATTCAAATGAAACTTCATTTCATGCAAACTGCAGCATTGGCAGTTACTTGGCAATATATTATTCTCTATTAAAAAACTAATAGCATCATGTTCATTGTTGATAGAACACATAAACCCGTAATCACACTATAAACTCTGAGGGGGGGGGAACTGCAGCTTATAGGTGTTCTTAAAGCTTGCAATAGTGATCAATTTGTATTATTAAGTTGGCAGCTTTCATTTCTTTTTAGCCCATTTTGGCTTTTTCTTCATTAACATGTAAACTGAAAGTTCAACTCAAGAAGCATTGTGGATAATTTTTGCAGGGGCTAAATCAAAACCAATTAAATGCCCAACTGTAATCAGCTATCAAAAAATTATTATTTCTCCTTCGTAAACATAGGATTCGTGTCCTTTGCTGTTAAATTTTAATTCTTAAATAGAGCAACAATCACCTAAATAACTATGGATGTTGACTGTTGTATTCTCATTTCAGATGAAGTGAAAAATTCCTGCTTAGAAAAGATAGTTGTCTTCCATGTGTACCATTCTGCTTGATTATGGCTGATCCTTTATCAGGCATTGCAATTATAATATGCATCGCATTTGGTGTTTTAGTGAGTATTCTTTTGAGCTTTGGAAACATCTCATTTGTATGTCAATTAAATTTCGCCTGAAATTTTAGTTGTATTATGAAAATATTTCATTATTTGCATATTGTCTGATTATAAATTTATCTGGATATGGTTTGTGGAATACCTAATTCTTGAAATGCTAAATGTATATTTTTATCAGTAGACTGCAATTTTATGTGACAATAATTATAGGCAATCAAATTGTAACATAGTGTAATTTATAGTACATACTGCAATTTATAGTGTTTTTGACTTATTAGTATTTTATTAAATTTAATAATGATAATTTTAGTTTATGAGGTTGATCTTTACATTATGGTAACTTGGCGATTTTTTGGCGACCCAACTCTCCTACAGCAACCCTCTATTTTTTTTTCCCCGCCGCCATTTTGTCTTCACGAGTAAAGACATGTTTTTTTTCTTTTTATCTCCTGAACACTTCTTCCAACAATCTACTAGCCGAATTACACTTATGCTAGAAATTTTATCAAACAAAACTGCTTAATCATGACAAATATTCACTGCAAAATTAGGAAAAACTCCACAATACCATTCTCCTTGCGCATTTTTCAAAATAACACATACACATAAACCATGTACACGCCGACTTATTTACTTAAAAAAACTCCCAGAATTGCACAAAATGCATTCCGCCACATCTTCACTATATCCATATACACTGCTTTTTTCTAATAAATTACAAAAATTTCACGAAAATACATGACAATTTTCTCAATCTTTAACCCGGTAAAAAGAACATATATGAAATTACATGATCGCGAAAAAGTATTTACCCTTTACAAATATGAACATTTCCACATATAAAATAAATAAAAATATCCAAAAACTTCTACCTCTAAATCATCTATTACATTATACACGTCACCAACGAATTCATACCGCAAGCATTCAAATACTTAGTATCAATATTTAAATTATTTCCATGCACGTTTATTTCAACTTAAACGTATACAAATTCCTACAAGCATAAAATTCACAAAATAACTATCATTTCATTAAAATATCACTAAACCATGTACACGTCGACTTATTTTTACTTAAAAAAAAATCCCCAGGATTGCACAAAAATGGCATGCGCACACTCTTTCACTATATCCATGTACACTGCTTTTTTTTCTCATAAATTAGAAAAATTTCACGAAAATACATGACAATTTTTCTCAATCTTTAAACCCGGTAAAAAGAACATATATGAAATTACTGATCGCGAAAAAGTATTTACCCTTACAAATATCAACATTTCCACATATAAAATAAATAGAATATCCAAAAACTTTTACCTCTAAATCATCTATTACATTATACACGTCACCAACGAATTCATACCGCAAGCATTACAAATACTTAGTATCAAATATTTAAATTATTTCCATGCACGTTTATTTCAACTTAAGCGTATACCAAATTCCTCCTACAAACATAAATTCACAAAATAACTATCATTTCATTAAAATATAATTAAATTCAAAAACACTACTTAAAATATAAATGAGCACATACATTAAATTAATAAAAAATTACCTTACAATCCTAATTACTTTAAACTAAATCATTGCTAATAACAATTTTCCCAATAATACCAAATTCCTTTCCACCTTACATTTACAACAATGCATAAAATAATATCCTCAAATAATTAAAAATACTAACTTACCTAATCTTCTTCAGAATCTTGATTATGGCGGATACACTTTTCTACTTCGTTTCAGAATCTTTAAAATCATACTTATCTTCAAAGCAAGATACTAGGTAAAATAAATAACCATAATAACTCTTTTTCTCTCTCGCACAACCTAAAAAATATTTATTACTATCCTTTTCAATACCACTAATACCCATTTCGAATTCACTTTAGTTACGGCCATGGGATCCAAAAATTCACAACACTATTTCACACAACACAAAATAAAGCCAAATACAAATTGCCAGATTTTTTCCCGATTAAAGAACAGTAATTCGTCCATTAAATATCACATAACATATCCCATGATCTCTCATTTCCCTCACACAAAATAATGCGTAATCAGAACTGAATACTACTCACATTCTTAACAAAGTCTAACTAACCTAATCTTCTTCCGAATCTTCCTTACATGGTGGATACACTTTTATTATGGATTCAATAAAATTACTGAACGATTTTTTTTCCGAATTTGATAGAATTTGATAAAAAAAAAATTCTCTTTATCACATCTACAATTCACTTTAGACAGCGCCATACAATCCCAAAATTATTCAACCCTACTTCACAAACACCCAATGAAGCTTAATACAAAATAATATACATCCACAGATACTTGTCAAATTCCCCCCTTTCCGATTAAAGAACCGTAATTCGTCCATTAATATCACATGACATATCCCATGATCTCTCATTTCCCCCACACAAAATAATGCGTAATCGGAACTGAGTACTGCTCACATTATTACCAAAGTCCCAGGTATCCTTTTATCGCCTCCAAAATGTCGCCAAACTACCAGTTACCATATTGTAAAGATCAACCGTTTATGATTGTGAGAAATGTATCAGAGGAAATTTTGAAAGTAATATTTGAGTTTGAACTAAAAATGTATTGTATGTGTGTGCTTTTTTAGAAATATGATTTCTTAAAAAGATATTTTGGTTGTTAATTAAGGTGTGAAATGTATTTGTTAATTTTTTTACAGACATTTGTATTACTCTTTATATTTGCAAACAGACAAATAAAAAGGTTTTCTCTGAAATCAAAATCTGGTCCTCATACTCCCATAGCTCAAGATGCACCGAAGGTATTATATGCTTATTTGCTATATTTTCAGTGATAAATTTTGAATTTTATAAAATCTGTGCTAGATAAAAAATTTTGTTTAGCTGACTGGAAAAGTAAATGTGCTAAATTTCAGTGAACTGAAGCAAACTGACTTTTTTTTTTTTTTTTTTTTAATGAAAATGTTTTTGTATGTTATGGACAGAGCTTATAATTGAATTTTGATTAAGCTAAAAATTTCTCATCATTAGAATTTTAAAAAAAATCTTACATTTATAATGCAATTATTTAATTTTCTGAGCTTATTTTCTAATTTCTCTGTAATAAATAGCTGTATAATCTTATTTCTTAAGCACACATGTGTATTTCATCATTCCAAATGAGAACTAATTTGGAATAAAAATATGCCAAGTTCTGGCCAGGATAGTTTTTATTCTAGTGCCTGTGTTTATAAATTAAGTTGTTGCTTTCACAAACGGTATTCAGACTGAATTATAATTGAGAAGCAGCAAGAATAACTAATGAATGTCTAAGTGAACTGCTTTTATTTTTTAGCTATCAAAATGAGCTGTTACTTTGAATAATGAAACTCTAGAATAAAAATTCAGAAACAAACTACTTGTTGCCATTCAGCAAAAGAAATATAAATATGAATATTAAGAAAATGTTAATTTTACGAAATAATTAAACTCATGGTAAAATGTAAACTACTGAAATTCAAAATAATTATTACTAATGCTATAATGCATGCATGCTGAACCATTACAAATTACTTGGAACTAAAGTTGAGCCTTAAGTATTTTCAAAGCATTTCTAGGTACAGTCAAAAGTCTTTAATCCAGACTCATCGGACTTCGGCGATTCCGGATTATGGGTTTTTTTTCCGGATTATAGATCATCAGTTTTAATCTGGTAAGATGGCATGCAGAAATTATAAAATTAAAAATATGAACCGTAATTTATGAATAAAGAGCAATTATGATCTAAATGGTATCAATTTACAAAAAAAAAAAAAAAAAAGCTTAATATTTATTGTTTACTTTATTAACATTTCTTTCAAACGTGCTCATGCGTAAGCATAATTGGGCATAGTCGAAATTAGAAAATTGCACCCAGAAAACTATTTGATGTGTATTCGTGATGTTTATAATGACGAGGAAATTGATTTAAATTATATCAAAGTACATCAAGATGAAACACTACATTTAGTGGGGAATTATAAGCCAAATAAAATAAATCATCTGCCCTAAAGATGAGGATAGTGCTGACAGATCAACTTCCAGTTCATTGCGCGCCCGCCGCGACATCCCCCCCCTTTCCCGCAGAGCAGCGTGAAATTGATAAACAGATTTCGGAATGGTTAAAGAAACAAATCACCTCTGTCATTTTCTTCATGCCATTATCCATTTTTTGCAGCAATTCGACTTTATGCTTAATGGACATCGAAACATGCTTTCGCTTTGTAGATCCTTTGGCAGCTCCAGAATTGAAAACTCTTTTTGACATAATCGAAAGTTCAAGCCTACTTTTTATAAATTGCTCCAACAGTCTGCAAAAAATAATAAGCCGGATCCAATTAGAAAATTAACCGTTGAGTCCAGCGAAGTGCTATTGAACTTCGTTGTCGTATGCCAAAAATACGGTGTGCGCAATAGCGCTTCTCTTGTTTTGTAATGAGAATGCGAAGCGCTGCTGTTGGTTAGTATACTTTACGCAGTTATGAGAGCAGTTGTAGTGATATGCGTAGCAGTTGGTTTTATAGGAATTGGAAATTTTCATTTTTTTACCAAGTGTATACTGATAATTATGAAATAACCCATGTCAAGTTCTGATTCATTTGAAAGTGACTATGTATGAGAAGTGATAATGAAGAGTAGTAATGACTTGAAAGTGATAGTGAAATGACATCATCATTCGTTCTAAGAGATTACGAGTTATTAGTGATAGCAGTGATGAAGTAACTGCAAGTACCTCCGAGGACGATATTACTGATGAGTTTCTACTCGGGATACAATTTTTTCGAACGAATCAAATACTTTTTCTGAAGTACCTGGACCAAAGCATGCTCCTCCTCCTCCTGATGCGAAACCAATTGAATAGTTCAATATTTTTTTTTTTAAATTTTCAATAATTTTTTTTTTTTTTTTTTCAAGTATACTAACAGCAGCGTCTTCGCATCTCGATACAAAACAAGAGAAGCGCTATCGTGCTGCGCCGTATGTTCGGCATACGACAAGTGAAGCGCGCGCCCTACTCAAACGGTTAAAGAACAACGCAATCTGCAGCATTAACTGAAATAGATAATTTTAGCTTAGCTTATACTGTCCGTTATACATTAAACGTGCATGGGTAAACGCATATGCGCATGCATTAAGGTATTATGCGCATTTGTAAACGATATGCGTTTACGCATGCCCAGAAAGTTGTAGCTTTGAGGTCCGGATTATGGACGTCCTATTAAAGACTTTGACGTATATCTTTTAATATTTTTCTTTATTGAATTAAAAAAGTAAGAAATGAAAGAAAATCTGAAAGGATTCAGATTTTAAGTCGTGCCAGAGAATTTGTTAAGGTTTGTTTTTGCTAATCATTACATGTTACCTGTATGTTCTTGGACTCATTCCCACTACAGGTTTTCTTTTGTCTTTTCACACTTACATCATGGAACATTCAAGAGCAAAATCTCAAAATATTTAAAAACACATATCTCTCAAATCAGTGTAGGGGTTGCCATATATTTTTTTTATTCCCTATTATTTCTTTGAAAACTAATTGCTGGGCAGCCAGAAAGTTTTGGTAAAAAAAGAAAAAAAAGAAAGAAAAGAAAAAGAAAGTGTATAGTGATTTTATAAATTGTGCTAGCCTCATTTCATAAAGTATTTTATATTTCTAATTAGACGTTTGAAGTCCATGAGTATTCTTTGGTAGCATATACTTGGTCTCTAATAGAAGATGAAGTAGTGAATTCTCGCTATGAAGAATACAGACTGCAAAGAAGGTTTAAATAACCTTTTTATTTAAACTAATTAAAACAGATGCATGCATTTCATCTCACAAATCACAACACTTGTGGCTATGAAATTAACAGAAAATAAAAATGTAACAAATCACTAGTAAATTAAGATATCTAAATGATTGGTTCCTTAGTTTAACTAACACTCAACTGCTGCACACAGCAAAGCCAAATAGAGAGATATCAGTATAACTGAAAGGTGTCTAATACTGGCTAGAGAGCTAAATTCAAACACGCAGCATAAATTCGGAACTAAGTCCACTATTATTACTACTACTTTTCGAACTCTTGAAATGCAGCTTAACATCTGCTTCTGAAACATGTTTAAATTTGAATACTACATCATACAAAATTTACATTCTGGCAGGAAATTGAAATCAGGAGGGAAAGGAAAGAAAACTAAAAATAATTAGTTAGAATAAAATAAATCCTTACAACATCTCGTGACTTAAATGCATTTTTATTTATATCAGTTAGATTAAAAAGTAGATGAAGTATTTTTAAGAACTGTGTTTATTTCGTTTTAGTCGCTTGTTTTGCTAGAAAAAATATTTTTAAGAACTGCATTTATTGCTTTTCAATCACTTGTTTTGATTCTTAGTAACAGAAAAGTTAAATCTGAAAGTTAAATATCTTATTCTTT